GGGGGGTGGGAGGGAGCAGATTGCCTGGTCTCCCTGGAGCCCCAGCCCCTCTGGCACTTGGGGTCTGGCCCCACCAAGCGCTTTGTCGATCGGGTTTTAGGCGTGACCTTATGCATGTCTGGAGCTGTTGTGGCCACAGTGACTCATTGGAGAAGAAGGGAGGGTGGGGCCGAGATGTGGGCGAGGGTGAGCTGTCTCTCTCTCTCCGTGCTGGCTGCTGGCTCAGCACCAAAGAGGCCCTGCTTAAAGAGGAAGAGGGGGGTGCCAGGGCCATGGTGGCTTCAGTGCGACCCAGAGAAGCCCTTGGGCTGGGAGGCTTTCTTCTTCCCTGCCCCTGCCTGGCTCCTTATCTGCAGGGCTGGCGTCTGAGGGCTGGATTCTGGGAGAAGGCGCCATTTAAGTTCCAGCTTTGCTGTTTCACGTTGGGAACAGTCGGCGTGACTTCGCATAGCGGCCACCTCTGCCTGACGAGAAGGGAGGTGTTTTCTCAGCTCACACCTGTGCCAACAGGCGCTCACCTCTCAGCTTCTTTGCTTACCTCCTAGCCAACACCTGTGTTGACAGGGAGGCACGTCTTGAATAACCACATTATGAGTTCGTCACACGGGAGTACAGGTGGTGGAGGGCCTGGGGTCTACGTGTTTATCTTTCACCCGTGTTGTGGTCTGCCTGAGGTTGTAAATAAGCGCCCATGAAATTCCAAGAAGACACAGTCCCGTCCGGAGAGGCAAACTCCAGCACCTTCCAGACCCCATTATATTTCACTCCCCGTAGAAGGCTCCCAAGCCTTCTGGAACATTCTGAGGCTGAATGGGTCACACCTAGAGCACATTGCTCATAATTTGTATCTGGGGCAGGAATCAAGTCTTTTAAATCTCTGCATCTCCATATCTGGCACATGGAAGGCATTCAGTAAATTTTTCGAGGTGGCATGGGTGAAGTTAGGTAGCAACTGAATGCAGCACATAATTAAGTGTGGGCCCAAGCTGTGTCTGTGCCTGGCTGGTTTCTCTGCGGTATCTTAGACAGTACTGGGCAGACAGGAGGCAATCAGTGTGTGTGCATTTATTGATTGGTGACTAATTTCTAGACGTAAACAGCTTTGGGGTGGGGCCTGGGGTGGGGTTCCCCGTGATTTATTGTGTCCTTTGCACAGATCCACAGGCATGCTTCGGGAGGACGCTGCCACCGCCATTTTGTGTGGGTGGCTGTAGTCAGTGGCCATCTCCACAGTCCTGCCTGGTGCCTTCCCAGGGTGCTTCTGCGGCCGACAGCTCACCCTGATGCCGGAGGGCGTCTTTCCTACCAGGTGCCAATACCTAGGGGGGCCTGGCCCAGGGCCCAGTGTGGGCAGCCAGATGGGCTTTGACTCACCCGGTCCTGAGGCGGGCTCAGCTGTGCTCCAGCCTCTCGGGCTTGGGCTGGTGCCTGGCGGCACTGGGGCTTCCCTTGTTTGAGCCGCTGCCTGTGGCAGGGCTCCTGGAGCTTCTGGCTGGCAAGGGTCCCCTGTCCTGAGGATCAGATTAGACGGCGTAACCAGGAGTCACTGTTTGGTGGGGTCCCTGGGGGAGGGAGGGTACTACTAACCCTGCTTTCAGGCCTGCCAGCTGCCCCTCATGCTGGAGACCCCCTCAGAGGAGCCTCACGGCGGTTCAAAGCTAGAGATGTGCAAGTGGACAGGGGAAAGAGTTACAGACTAGGTCCAAGCCCAGGCGTAGCTGCTCTCTTGTTGTGTGCCCCGGGCAAGTTGGCCTCTCTGAACCTCAGTCTTCATCTGTAAAATGGGAACAGTAACATCTGCCTGGAGTCTCTGGGTGGTGTAAATGGTTAATGTGCTCAGCTGCTAACTGAAAGGTTAGAAGTTCGAGTCCACTCAGAGGCACCTCAGAAGAAAGGCCTGGCAATCTCCTTCTGAAAAATCAGCCATGGAGCACAGTTCTACTCTCACACACAGGGCATCGCCATGAGTCAGTTGACTTGACGGCAACTTTTTTTTTTTTTTTTAATGTCTACCTGCTGAAGCTGTTGTAATCTAATGAGAGTGTGTACATTGCTAGACTTGTGTGAGCTGGCACTTTTCACACACGCTGTCCCTCCTTCACTTCTCATGGAAATCCTCAATCATCTCCATTTTCACAGATGAGGAAACAGAGGTCCAGAGAAGTTAAGTGTCTTGGCCAGCATCACACAGCTAAGAGAAGGCAGAGTCAGGATTCGAATCTGAGTCTGGCCAACTCTTTTTTTTTCTTTGTTTATTGTTGTATCTTAAGTGAAAGTTTACATTTCAAGTTAGTCTGTCATACAAAAATTTAAACATACATTGTTATGTGACCCTAATTGCTTTCCCTGTACTGTGACAGCACACTCCTCCTTTCCACCCTGGATTTCCCGTGTCCATTCACCCAGCTCCTGACCCTCTGTGCCTTCTCATTTCACCTCTGGACAGAAGCTGCCCATTTAGTCTCATGTATCTACTTGAGCTAAGAAGCACACTCTTCACGAGTATCATTTCATGTCCCACAGTCCAGTCCAATCTTTGTCTGAAGAGTTGGCCGCGGGAATGGTTTTAGTTCTGGGTTGACAGAGAATCCGGGGGCCATGCTTTCTGAGGTTCCTCCAGTCTCAGTCAGACCATTAAGTACGGTCTTTTTACTAGAATTTGAGTTCTGCACTTCACCTTTCTCCTGCTTCATCAGGGACTCTGTTGTCTTTCCTATCAGAGAGGTCATTGGTGGTAGCTGGGCACCATCTAGTTCTTCTGGTCTCAGGCTGATGAAGTCTCTGGTTTATGTGGCCTTTTCTGTCTCTGGGGCTAATACTTGCCTTGTGTCTTTGGTGTTCTTCATTCTCCTTTACTCCAGGTGGATGGAACCAACTGATGCATCTTAGATGGCCACTTGCTAGCGTTTAAGACCCCAGACATGAGTCTGGCCAACTCTTAACCCCCTTTCCATGATGTCAGGCTAGAGAGTCACGAATGAACAGAATCGATGGCAGGAACAGTGGGGGCTAGGGCTGTGGTCTGGCCTGGGGGACAGAGCACTCAGCCATTGCTTGGGTGGCAGCTGGTCAGGGTTTCAAGCAAGCCGACTGTCCGAGTCCACATCCTTGTGAACTTTCCTCTAGACTGCGTGACGGAGATTCCCGAGGACGAGAGAGACTGAAGGGAGGAAAGGAAGGAGGGGCGGGCTCCTGGCAAGGCATTCGCTCCTGAACGAGTCCTGCAAAAGGTCAGTAGGAGGGAGGGTGAAGAAGAGGTGGAAGGGATGTGGGATGCGGGAGTGGAGACCCGTGTGCAACTGGAGGCAGGGCCCCGAGGCAGAAGGGTTGAGGGACTGGTTACCTTCTGGGCCAGTTTCGTTGACTGTGCCCTTTCCACACTCTGCGGTGCCTTGGAGAACACGCACAGTGGAAGGGTGTGAGCTGGATTGCCTAGCCCTTCCCTGCCCGCCCCCCCCAGCCCCTCACCTGCCGGAGCAGGCACCTGGACAGACTGCTCTCCCTGCAAGCCCACAGCGCCAAGATCCCTGGCTTTCTCACCCCTCATTCCCTCACGTCCCTGCCATCCTGACTCCATTTCCTTATCTCGCCCAGATGGAGATGGAGAAGGAGGAGGAGGAGACCCGGGAGCTGCTGCTGCCCAACTGGCAGGGCAGTGGCTCCCACGGGCTGACCATCGCTCAGCGGGACGATGGCGTGTTTGTGCAGGAGGTGATGCAGAACTCCCCTCTGGCCCGCACTGGGGTGGTCAAGGAGGGTGAGTCACCATGAGGTGCTGACTGGGTGCTGGGGGCCTGGGAAAGTGAGGGTGGTGGAGGAAGGGCAGGGCAGGGCAGGGAGCAGGCAGGAATGGGCAAGTGACTGTGGAGAGAGGTCCCAGTGGCATCAGGATGGTTCCCAAGCCCCATCCTCCATTGTCCCCTCTGTGTCTCTCACTTATGGTCCTGGGGGAGGCAGATGTGGGGGAAGGTGGAGTCCCCCTTGAGTGGTCCTGAGTTCTGACTCCACCACTCACCAGCTCAATGGCTTTGGGCAAATAAGTTTGCTTCTCTAAGCCTCAGCTTCCTCATCTGTAAAATGGGTATTATCATGCCTTTGTTGCAGGATGGTCATGAGAATTAAATGCCAGGGAGCTTGAGGGCCCAGCATGAGTGGTTGCGTGTCACTTTCCTAAGGCCCTGGGGGGTCTTACCCACTTCTTGCTCCTCCCTGCTCAGGGGACCAGATTGTGGGTGCCACCATCTACTTTGACAATCTGCAGTCAGGTGAGGTGACCCAGCTGCTGAACACCATGGGGCACCACACCGTGGGCTTGAAGCTGCACCGCAAGGGGGACCACTCCCCTGAGCCTGGCCAGACCAGGACCCATGAGGTCTTCAGCTCCTTCAGCTCCGAAGTGGTTCTGGTGAGTCTCCGCCGGCCCCTCTGTGCCCTGAGCTCCCCATCACACCGGCCTGCTGGCTCCACTGACTGAGGCCTCTGTCCGCCTACTTGGGTCTCTCTTGCAATTCTTTCTCCTCCTTAAACCTTTCTGCATTCTCTTGAGCCTTGGCCAGTCTCTTTGTTCCTACTCCTATGTGGCATGTGGCTGATACTGCCCCTAAAGTCTTCCATAGTCTCTTTAGGGAGCCCAGATGTTCCACCATGTGGAAAGTGACTCACACAGCCTGGATGTAGATGCCAGGGGGAAGGCTGATGGCTTTGCAAGAATCTTTGAAATGATTTCACAGGTGCCTCACGCTGCCTCGCGGACACCGTTTATCTCCTTCCAGAGGCCAGGAGTCATCTCTGTGAGTCAGAGACTGGGCAGCAAAGTAGTGGATTGTGCCTGCAGGGATCTTTCTCTGCTCCTTCTGATGGCTTGTTTATTTAACAAATGATGGTTCTTCAAAGTGAAAGTGTTGACTCAAGCACAGCCAGTCTCTTAGGCTCCTCAAATGCTTGCGAGGTGCCAAGGGCTCCTGGGAGGATTCCCTCCCTATTAAACAAACAAGCCAGTGAGTCGGGAGCTGAAGGGTCAAGTCAGCAGTGCTGGTTGCCTGGGAGGGTCCCAAGGACTCAAGAGGCCTATTTGAATCTATAATTGATCGTAAGTCCTCCACACAGTGTAGGAGTTGACGCTCCCTGCTCTCCCCATGGCTTCTGCTTACCAGAATTTCACCCAATAATCTCTGTTTTCCTCCTGTGATATGGTTGTCAGCCCTTCTTTCTTCCATCCATTGTGCTGTGTCCCGGGAGGCTCCGTGGACTTCTGTTATGGTCCCAGCTTTTTGGGAGACAGGCAACTGTGTTGTCGGCTGGGCTGTGGCCGGGCATCTGGTAGTCCAGGCCGGCTTTGCTGCAACCTCTGCCGGTGCGTGTCTTTCTGCAGAGCGGGGATGATGAGGAGTACCAGCGCATCTACACCACCAAGATCAAGCCTCGACTGAAGTCGGAGGATGGAGCGGAAGAGGACCCTGGGGAGACCCAGAGCCGCACCATCACGGTGGCCAGAAGGGTCACAGCCTACACCGTGGATGTGACGGGACGGGAAGGTGCCAAGGACATCGACATCAGCAGCCCTGAATTCAAGATCAAGATCCCCAGGCATGAACTGACTGAGATCTCCCACACGGATGTGGAGACTCAGCCTGGGAAGACAGTGATCAGACTGCCCTCGGGCTCGGGGGTGGTGTCTCCAACCACAGGCTCTGCTGTAGACATCCAAGCAGGGGCCATTTCTGCTTCGGGACCAGAGTTCCAAGGTGCTGGCCATTCGAAGCTCCAGGCCACCATGCCTGGGATAAAGGTGGGAAGCCCAGGCGTCAATGTCAGCGCTAAGGGCTTGGACTTGGGTGGCAAAGGAGGGATCCAAGTTTCTGGAGTGGACATTTCATCTTCTCCTGGGGGTGGAGCAGTCAGTGTGCAGGGGCCATCCCTTGAGAGTGGCGGTAATGGGAAAATTAAAATTCCCACCATGAAGATGCCCAAGTTTGGTGTCTCGACAGGGCCCGAGGGCCAAGTGCCAGGGGTAGGGCTGAGTGTTTCTGCACCTGAGTTCTCCATGGGGCACAAGGGCAGCAAGCCAGGTTTGACCATTGGCGCAAACATCCAGGCCCCCCAGCTAGAAGTCAGCGCTCCTTCCACCAGTATTGAGGGCTTTGTGGGGAAGCTGAAGGGCCCTCAAATCACTGGGCCATCACTTGAGGGTGACATAGGCCTGAAAGGCGCCAAGCCACAAGGGAGCATAGGGGTGGACATTTCTGCTCCCAAAGTTGAGGGCAGCATCACTGGCCCCAGTGTGGAGGTTCAAGCCCCTGATGTTAATGTTCATGGGGCTGGGGGCAAACTGAATATGCCCAAGATGAAAGTCCCCAAATTCTCACTGTCAGGTTCTAAGGGAGAAGGAGCTGGCATTGATGTAACACTGCCCGAAGGTGAAGTGACACTTCCTGGGGTCTCTGGGGATGTCAGCCTGCCTGAGGTTGCTCTTGGTGGTCTGGAAGGGAAGGTGAAGGGTACCAAAGTCAAGACTCCTGAGATGATTATTCAGAAGCCTAAAATCTCTATGCAGGATGTGGATCTGAGCCTTAAGTCTCCTGAACTGAAAGGCGATATTAAGATTTCTGCTCCTGGGATACAGGGTGATGTTAAAGGCCCTCAAGTGGCAGTTAAAGGCCCCCAAGTCGATATAGAGGCACCCAGTCTAGAGGGTGCCAAGCTTAGTGGCCCTTCTGGGAAGACAGGGACATGCAGGATCTCTATGGCAGATGTAGACTTAAATGTGGCTGCTCCTAAAGTGAAAGGGGGTGTAGATGTCACTCTTCCAAAAGTAGAAGGGAAAGTTAAAGTCCCTGGAGTTGATGTTACAGGCCCTAAAGTGGATGTCAGTGCCCCAGATGTGGAGGTTCATGGCCCAGAGTGGAACCTGAACATGCCCAAGATGAATGTCAGTGCCCCAGATGTGGAGGTTCATGGCCCAGAGTGGAACCTGAACATGCCCAAGATGAAAATGCCCAAGTTCAGGGCTCCAGGAGTCAAAGGGGAAGGCCCAGAATTAGACGTGAATTTACCAAAAGAAAATGTCAGTATTGCTGGGCCCAAGGTCAGTGTGGAAGCCCCAAATGTGAACATTGAGGGTCTAGGGGGCAGACTTGAAGGCTCTGATATTAAGCTGCCTGAAGTGAGTGTCAAGACATCAAAGATCTCCGTGCCTGATTTAGATTTGCATGTCAAAGGTACAAAGGTGAAGGGCGAGTATGATGTAACAGTGCCAAAGCTTGAAGGGGAACTGAAAGGCCCCAAAGTGGACATTGATGCCCCAGATGTGGACGTTCACGGCCGAGACTGGCATCTGAAGATGCCCAAGATGAAAATGCCCAAATTCAGTGTGCCAGGGTTCAAAGCAGAGGGCCCAGAAGTGGATGTGAACCTGCCCAAGGCCAGTGTGGACATTTCTGGGCCCAAGGTAGATGTTGGTGCTCCAAATGTGAGCACTGAGGGACCAGAAGGGAAACTGAAAGGGCCCAAATTTAAGATGCCTGAGATGAATATCAAAGCCTCAAAGATCTCCATGCCAGATGTGGACTTACATTTAAAAGGTCCTAAAATAAGGGGAGAGTACGATGTCACAGTGCCAAAGGTTGAAGGTGAGGTTAAAGTTCCTGATGTTGAACTTAAGAGTGCCAGAGTGGACATTGATGCTCCAGATGTGAATGTTCAAGGCCCAGACTGGCACCTGAAGATGCCCAAAGTGAAAACGCCCAAGTTCAGCATGCCTGGCTTCAAGGCAGAGGGCCCGGAAGTGGATGTGAACTTGCCCAAGGCTGACGTTGATGTTTCAGCATCCAAGGTGAATGTTGAAGTTCCAGATGTGAATATTGAAGGCCCTGAAGGGAAGCTGAAGGGTCCCAAGTTTAAAATGCCTGTGATGAACATCAAGGCCCCAGAAATCTCCATACCAGATGTGGATTTGCATATGAAAGGTCCCAAGGTAAAGGGAGAATATGATGTTACAGTGCCAAAGCTAGAAGGGGAGCTGAAAGAGCCAAATGTAGACATCAGTGCCCCAGATGTTGAAATTCATGGTCCTGATTGGAACTTGAAGATGCCCAAGATGAAAATGCCCAAATTCAGCATGCCCAGCCTCAAAGGAGAGGGTCCAGAAGTGGATGTGAACCTGCCCAAGGCTGATGTGGACATTTCTGGGCCCAAGCTAGATATTAGTGCTCCAGATGTGAGCTTTGAAGGCCCAGAAGGGAAATTGAAAGGCCCCAAGTTTAAGATGCCTGAGATGCACTTCAAAGCTCCTAAGATGTCTCTTCCAGGTGTTGACCCGGATCTTAAAGGACCCAAAATGAAAGGAAATCTAGATGTATCTGCACCAAAAGTAGAAGGTGAGATGAAAGTTCCAGATGTGGATATCAAAGGCCCCAAGGTAGACATTAAAGCACCAGATGTAGATGTTCAAGGTCCTGATTGGAGCCTGAAAATGCCCAAGATGAAAATGCCCAAGTTCAGCATGCCCAGCTTCAAAGCAGAAGGGCCAGAACTGGACGTGAACCTGCCTAAGGCTGACATTGATGTTTCAGTACCCAAAGTGGACATTGATGCTCCAGATGTGAGCCTTGAGGGTCCAGAAGGGAAACTGAAAGGCCCCAAGTTTAAGATGCCTGAGATGCACTTCAAGGCCCCTAAGATCTCCATGCCTGATGCGGACTTAAATTTGAAAGGCCCCAGAGTCAAAGGGGATGTGGATGTATCTGTGCCCAAGATAGAAGGTGAAATGAAAGTGCCAGATGTGGACATCAAAGGGCCCAAAGTGGATATCAATGCCCCAGATGTTGATGTTCAAGGCCCAGACTGGAACTTGAAAATGCCTAAGATCAAAATGCCCAAGTTCAGCATGCCCGGCTTTAAAGCAGAGGGCCCAGAAGTGGATGTGAACCTGCCCAAAGCTGATATTGACATCTCTGGACCCAAAGTTGACATTGAAGCCCCAGATGTGAGCCTTGAGTGTCCAGAAGGGAAGCTGAAAGGTCCCAAATTTAAGATGCCTGAGATGCACTTCAAGGCCCCCAAGATCTCCATGCCTGATGTGGACTTAAACTTGAAAGGCCCCAGAGTCAAAGGGGATGTGGATGTATCTGTACCCAAGTTAGAAGGTGAAATGAAAGTGCCTGATATGGACATGAAAGGACCCAAAGTGGATATCAGTGCCCCAGATGTTGATGTTCATGGCCCAGACTGGCACCTGAAGATGCCCAAGATGAAAATGCCGAAGTTCAGCATGCCCGGCTTTAAAGCAGAGGGCCCAGAAGTGGATGTGAACCTGCCCAAAGCTGATATTGACATCTCTGGACCCAAAGTTGACATTGAAGCCCCAGATGTGAGCCTTGAGTGTCCAGAAGGGAAGCTGAAAGGTCCCAAATTTAAGATGCCTGAGATGCACTTCAAGGCCCCCAAGATCTCCATGCCTGATGTGGACTTAAACTTGAAAGGCCCCAGAGTCAAAGGGGATGTGGATGTATCTGTACCCAAGTTAGAAGGTGAAATGAAAGTGCCTGATATGGACATGAAAGGACCCAAAGTGGATATCAGTGCCCCAGATGTTGATGTTCATGGCCCAGACTGGCACCTGAAGATGCCCAAGATGAAAATGCCGAAGTTCAGCATGCCCGGCTTTAAAGCAGAGGGCCCAGAAGTGGATGTGAACCTGCCCAAGGCCAACATTGATGTCTCAGGACCTCAAGTAGATGTAAGTGCACCAGATGTAAATATTGAAGGTCCAGATGCAAAACTAAAAGGTCCCAAATTTAAGATGCCAGAAATGAATATAAAACCTCAGAAGATATCCACGCCAGATGTTGGTTTACATTTGAAAGGTCCTAAAATGAAAGGAGATTATGATGTTACAGTTCCAAAACTAGAAGGAGAGATAAAAGCTCCTGATGTGGGTATTAAAGGCCCCAAAGTAGATATGAATGCCCCAGATGTAGAAGTTCATGGCCCAGACTGGCACCTGAAGATGCCCAAGGTGAAAATGCCCAAGTTCAGCATGCCCAGCTTCAAAGGCGAGGCCCCAGAAGTGGATGTGAACCTGCCCAAGGCTGACATTGATGTGTCAGGACCCAAGGTAGACATTGATGTTCCAGATGTTAATATTGAAGGTCCAGATGCGAAACTGAAGGGCCCCAAGTTCAAGATGCCGAGCATGAATATACAGACACACAAAATTTCTATGCCTGATGTTGGACTTAATCTGAAATCTCCTAAGCTGAAAAGTGATGTAGATGTTTCCCTTCCCAAAGTGGAAGGAGACTTGAAAGGTCCTGAAATTGATGTGAAAGCCCCTAAGATGGATGTGGATGTTGGTGATATTGATATTGAATGTCCAGAAGGAAAGTTGAAAGGCCCCAAGTTTAAGATGCCAGACATGCACTTCAAGGCCCCCAAAATCTCCATGCCTGAAGTGGACTTAAACTTGAAAGGCCCCAGAGTCAAAGGGGATGTGGATGTGTCTGTGCCCAAGATAGAAGGTCAAATGAAAGTGCCAGATGTGGACATCAAAGGCCCCAAAGTGGATATTGATGCCCCCGATGTGGATGTTCATGGCCCAGACTGGCACCTGAAGATGCCCAAGGTGAAAATGCCCAAGTTCAGCATGCCCGGCTTCAAAGGAGAGGGCCCAGAAGTGGATGTGAACTTACCTAAGGCTGACATTAACATTTCTAGCCCCAAAGTTGACATTGATGCTCCCGATTTGGACATTGAAGGACCAGAAGGAAAATTAAAAGGTTCCAAATTTAAGATGCCCAAGTTGAATATCAAAGCTCCCAAGATCTCCATGCCATATGTGGACTTGAATTTGAAGGGACCCAAACTGAAAGGGGGGATAGATGCTTCTGTCCCAGAACTGGAAGGTGATCTTAGAGGTCCTCAAGTTGATATCAAAGGCCCCAGTGTGGATGTGGAGGTGCCTGATGTTGATCTGGAATGTCCTGATGCAAAGTTGAAAGGTCCCAAATTTAAGATGCCAGACATGCACTTCAAGGCCCCCAAGATCTCCATGCCTGATGTCGACTTACACTTGAAAGGCCCCAAAGTCAAGGGGGATGTAGATATTTCTGTCCCAAAATTGGAAGGAGATTTGAAAGGCCCCAATGTGGATGTGGAGGTGCCTGATGTTGATCTAGAATGTCCTGATGCAAAGTTGAAAGGCCCCAAGTTTAAGATGCCAGACATGCATTTCAAGACCCCCAAGATCTCCATGTCTGATGTGGACTTAAACTTGAAAGGCCCCAGAGTCAAAGGGGATGTGGATATATCTGTACCCAAGTTAGAAGGTGAAATGAAAGTGCCTGATGTGGACATCAAAGGACCCAAAGTGGATATCAGTGCCCCAGATGTGGATGTTCATGGCCCAGACTGGCACCTGAAGATGCCTAAGATCAAAATGCCCAAGTTCAGCATGCCCGGCTTCAAAGGAGAGGGCCCAGAAGTAGATGTGAACCTGCCCAAGGCTGACATTGACATCTCTGGACCCAAGGTTGACATTCAATCCCCAGATGTTGGCCTTGAGTGTCCGGAAGGGAAGCTGAAAGGTCCCAAGTTTAAGATGTCAGACATGCACTTCAAGACCCCCAAGATCTCCATGCCTGATGTGGACTTACACTTGAAAGGCCCCCAAGTCAAAGGGGATGTGGATATTTCTGTACCAAAATTAGAGGGAGAGTTGAAAGGCCCCAGTGTGGATGTGGAGGTGCCTGATGTTGATCTAGAATGTCCTGATGCAAAGTTGAAAGGCCCCAAGTTTAAGATGCCAGACATGCACTTCAAGGCGCCCAAGATCTCCATGCCTGATGTGGACTTAAATTTGAAAGGCTCCGAAGTCAAAGGGGATGTGGATGTGTCTGTACCCAAGTTAGAAGGTGAAATGAAAGTGCCTGATGTGGATATCAAAGGCCCCAAAGTGGACATCGGTGCCCCAGATGTTGATGTTCATGGCCCAGACTGGCACCTGAAGATGCCCAAGATGAAAATGCCCAAGTTCAGCATGCCCGGCTTCAAAGGAGAGGGTCCAGAAGTGGATGTAAACTTGCGCAAGCCAGATGTTGACATTTCAGGCCCCAAAGTGGACATTGAGCCTCCAGATGTGAGCATTGAGGGTCCAGAAGGAAAACTAAAAGGCCCTAAGTTCAAGATGCCTGAAATCCACGCCCCCAAGATCTCCATGCCTGACATTGATTTCAACTTAAAGGGGCCTAATATCAAGGGACATGTTGATGTTTCTGCCCCAAAGCTGGAAAGAGAGTTAAAGGGCCCAGAATTGGATGTCAGAGGCCCCAAATTGGATGTTGATATGCCAGACGTAGCTGTGGAAGGCCCAGATGGCAAATGGAAAAGTCCTAAGTTTAAGATGCCGGACATGCACTTTAAAGCTCCCAAACTCTCCATGCCAGAGGTTGACCTACACTTAAAAAGCCCCAAAATAAAGGGAGAGATGGACACAGATGTTCCCAAATTGGAAGGAGACCTCAAAGGGCCACATGTGGACATCAGTGGGCCAGACATCGACATTGAAGGACCAGAGGGCAAATTGAAAGGTCCCAAGTTCAAGATGCCTGACATGCATTTCAAAGCCCCCAATATTTCTATGCCTGATGTGGACCTAAATCTCAAAGGACCCCAAATCAAGAGGGATGTAGATGTGTCTGTGCCTGAGGTGGAAGGTAAAATTAAAGTACCAGATGTGAACATCAAGGGCCCCAAAGTAGACATAAATGCTCCTGATGTTCATGGCCCAGACTGGCACTTGAAGATGCCCAAGATGAAAATGCCCAAGTTCAGCATGCCTGGCTTCAAGGGAGAAGTCCCAGAAGTGGATGTGAGCCTGCCCAAGGCAGACATTGATGTCTCAGGACCCAAGGTGGACATTGAAGGACCTGATGTTAACATTGAAGGACCAGAGGGAAAGTTGAAAGGACCTAAGTTCAAGATGCCTGAGATGAACATCAAAGCCCC